TATATATATATATATATATATATATATATATATATATATATGAACATGGTTTGTTTAACCAATAAGCATCATTGAATAATTTGTTGCTAGCTGAAAACCTTTTCCCTGAGATTATTGTTAGCTCTAGAAAATCATTCACGTAAACGATGAACGGTGACACAAAGGGAGTCTACACTGAAATAACAAAGCAACAACTCACGTAGGTTTTTCTATGACTTCCAGATCTTCATCTTCTTTCGCCAAGTCAATTATGCGATTATCAAAAAGCCGAACTACACGGCCAAATGTGCTGAAAAAACTGAACGACTCCAAAACAAATCATTACTTGATTTGTAAACTTGTCATTTCGGAAACCAACAAGTCAATGCGTTGCTGTACAGATTCTACCTGGCTTTGGAGCGCCGACTTCTGGTCCTCAAGTAACTTCAAACGATCTGTGAGGCCCAGTTCATTGAAAATTGTCATAATGTTGTCCATAATACCACATTCCTCGAAAGATGACGAAAGACGTTGTTCCACAATATGTTGTTTAAGATTGACATCTGTCACTAGAAAAGAATATCACCAGAGTGAACAAAAATACCATCCTCTAATTCGGCTTTGTACTTCTGTTCGATATAAGAAAGTACAAACCAGTATATATCATCCATCTCTAGATTGTTATAGATCAATTTGACCAATTCGTGCACCGTCTGATTTGTGTCCGCAGAACGATCCATGTCCACGGAGATGCTAAAATAAATAGAAGGGAATGTCTGAAGGAACTCATATATTACACCATTCGTAGGATGGAACAGAAAAGTTGGGAAAAGTATGAATGTATTGCATATCGAACACGTCTGAGGTCAAACTGTGTATCGAACGAACCATGGGACAATGATCTTTATAAAAAGAAAAAGGTTCATGAATTGCTCGAGGACGCGATACTGCTAGGTTGCCCAGGTCAAATCAGGTAAATCTTCTTAGCTAGCTCACAACCGGAGACTTCGGTTAACCAACGCTTGACCGCAAAGCATGGAGGCCATGAGTGAAAACCGCAATCCATTGGGGGCCGGTGTCCAGTACAGCGGATCATACGTCACCTGGCAGGGGTCAAACGTTCAAAATGACCAATACAACTCGATGCCCCATGAAGCCGGTGACCACTACCACATCCGGAAATGTGTGGGTGAGTATATAT